TTTTAAAAAAATTTTTTTTTTGGGGGGGGGGATTTAGGGGGATTTTGAAGGCAATGATTGATCGACATAATAGATTATTCGAATGGTATAATCCAATTTGCCTTGGGAACAATTCGATATTTTTCCGGTTGCAAAGAGCAGAGAAAATTATTGCCTTGGGAATAATTGGATACCATGGCATCCGACGGTCAGTCGGAAAAATCCGACTATTTCGTTGCAATTCCGACTTCCGGAAGTTGAAAACGTCAACTCGGGTTGATGTTAACCTAACCGACAGTCGGAATGCTGAAATGTGAGTTCGACCGAACTCACATTTCAGCACATTCCGGCTGTCGGAACAACTGTTCGTCGGGGGCGCTGTCTCCGGCAAATTTGTTCTCCGGCTTTTTGCTCGGTGATCTTCCCCCGTCCGCTTTGCTCTCCCCCTTGGAGTGCCCACTCCCGGCCGAAAAGTTGCTCCCCGGCGAACACTAGTCGGAACTGCTCGGTTGGATTCCGACCGAGCAGTTCCGACGGCCGAATATCGTTAGATGAATTCGGCTGATTTCGACAGTCGGTCGGAATGCCGACTGTCGGAATCATGAAAATATCCGACCGACATAAAGTTTCGCTCGGATGACATCACTAATGCCACGCAGACTGTCCGTCAACACGGCAATACAATAACTTATTTTGTATTGCCCGTTCCATTCTAAACTCTTGACAACTAAACGGCCTCGTAGGCGATTCATGAACTACAAAGAAAATGTTCATGAAACTGAGAAATCGAATGCAGAGAGCTAGTTAATTCTGGTGTGTCAACCACCTCGGGAATAGCATTCGATGAGAAATGGTGACTAAAATGAAGGGCTCCGTCGAGATGTTCTGTTTATAAAGCATCTGCGGTTAGCCTATAGCATCCGATGGTCTTCCAGTAATACAACTTCTAGAATCTAGATGGAATTTCAAGGATTTTTACAGATAGTTCTTAGTTTTCATGGGACTGATGGTGAACATTTAGAGTTTTGCCTGGGTCCGAGAGTGTGTGCTTTGTTGATTACCATGTGTTTCATCCACTCCTATCTGTTTATATTGTTAGGCAGTTTTCAGTCTTCCTTTGAAAGCTTCCTGAAATTCCTAAATCTGTTTATTTTAGATATGCAATTTTTGAAATTTCGACTCTATCCACATCATCCCTCACAACATAAATATTTANACAGATAGTTCTTAGTTTTCATGGGACTGATGGTGAGCATTTAGAGTTTTGCCTGGGTCCGAGAGTGTGCTTTGTTGATTACCATGCGTTTCATCCACTCCTATCTGTTTATATTGTTAGGCAGCTTTCAGTCTTCCTTCGAAAGCTGCCTGAAATTCCTGAATATCTGTTTATTTAAGAAATGCAATTTTTGAAATTTCGACTCTATCCACATCATCCCTCACAACATAAATATTTAATCAACTGTAACCTTTTTCCTAACGTTTGTCTTCTGCTAAATCCTGATTTTTTTTTGCTGTGCACATGTTTGAAAATATTATTCGATCGATTTCTTATTTCAAATATATCTCTACAGCTCAATCATTTCGATTTGGAGTATTTTCCATATTTTATTTTCCGGTTGTTTCCAATGCTAGTTTAAAGTGTTTACTTTTATTGTTGAATTTGTAACTTTCATTCAATACCAATATATAGCCTATTTAATCAGTATCAAATATGGGCTCTCGAAGCTTTCTGAAAGCTTTCAAATCCAGTGCCTACCTTTAGTAGCTCTTGTATGTTTCAATCGCCCACAAGTAGCAGAAATATGAAAAAATGAAACCCATATTCGATACTTATACTGTTTTCATTACTTGAATACTTTGAAGTTTTGTAAAATTTTGAGCTGTACGACTTTCTGTTCAATAAATTATGCTTGCTCATACAAAGAAATTTTTTTTCTGTTTTACATTGAGTGTTTCGCAAAACTTTCAGTGTTTTTCCATAAGTTTCTTGTCACGAAACAATGGTATGNTTCCTTGTGGAACAGATCATATGAATAAAGTGATCAATGACTGAAATTAGAAATGCTATTTGCATTTAGAGTGCGAGACTTAAGCTAAATTCAACAACAACTTTTTATTGAAAAAGAAGATGATGTTATGATAGGGAATACTTTTAATGAAACAATACCGAAGAACAAAAATTGCGATAGAACTTAACAAGAGAATAATTTAGTGAAGATAAGCATAACATTGTTCAGAACAGAGTAATATAACCCACGTAGCAGTACCACCGTATAAAAATTCGAACCCAAAAGAAACAAAACAACGCAACCGGTATGTGATGCGACCAAAAACCATTTTGAAGTTAAACATCAATCATAACAATACTCCACTGGCATTAATATCAATGTTGCAGCTCCTAAACAATATTAATCACAATAATAACACAGAAAGCTCAACATGTTTTGCACATTAATTGACACTAAAAAAGATGACCGAATGGAAGCCTTAAACCAAGCAAAAAACCCTTTTCTTGAAACCTCCTGATTCTTCCACACCCAACGCCTACCTTCAATAGCTCTTATATGTTTTAACTAACCACAAGTAGCAAAAACATAAAAAAATGAAACCCATAAGCAGTAATCAACATTTCGTAACGTTTTGCTTCACATGACCACATTTCTCTTCTTTCGTTTCACACGAACATTGAATTGTTTCCAAAAATGCGATCACATCCCTCTCACACACGTTAAATCAATGTCAAAAGGAAAACAACAAATTCGTAGTGCTACTCAAATAAATAAATTTCATTAAACACAGAGTGTAAGATGAATATGGTGCCGGTAAGTTGAATGAATTCTTAAAGCGAATGTTCCAAACAGATAACCAACTGATCACAACTGCCTGATCATGGAGCACAACGGCCGATGTAACGCGGGTACAGACACACATCCCTGATGTGATTCGTGTTCGTTAACCAACACACAAATCTCTCCAATCCCAGTCCATAACCACCGTGTGGACATGTTCCATATTTGCGCTGATCAATATACCAATAGTACGGCTTTGGATCTATTTTCGCTCCTTCGAACGCTTTCATTAGTTCATCTTCCTGAAAAANTGAATAATGCAGAACTTTGCACCTCAACTTACAAAAATACATTTGAACGTTTGAAAAGAAGCACTTCATCTGAAATCCGAACGTATTGTCTAATCGTAAACATCATGACAGAAATGAAAATGATGATAGTGACCCATAAGTGTAGTAGTGCTAATGAGAATAACAGCAATGAACTGCAAACAAGCGTAACCAAAACAAATAAATAAACTCGCCAACCTTCCACAACCTCATACTACCCCCGACAATCTCTCCAACAGTCGGCATCAAGAGATCAACTGATTCCGTCAAGCTGTTATCCTCCGCATCACGTTGCATATAAAACGCTTTGATGCCAGCTGGGAAACGGTTCAGGAAAATCGGCTGCAAAACAACATTTTAACAATGGCATCCACTCATTAACATAATAATTCTCTCTCATTTCCAAACAATTTTCTGCACATCCTATTTCAAGAGCGCCACCCACAACAGATTAAACTGAACCTTATTAATGGTGTCGTTCATTTGCCGTTCCGCTGCCTCAGCAATATCTTCACCATACTCAAACGTTTTATTGAATTCGTTCTTCACATCATGCTCTTGCAGCCATTTGATAGCGTCACTATAGCGCATACGCATGAATGGACGTTGTGGCGGAGTAAACTTCTGAAATTTCACCAAAAAATCCACCAGAAAACTGACGAATCGCTCTGAAGCGAGCGGGACTGAGAAATATACTGAATATATTGCAGGATGAACCAAAGAAAGACTGAACCAGTCGCATACCGGATTGAGATAGTAGATCATTTCTTTGGTGACAGGATCAGCCATCAAACGATCTACTGTATCGCAAACCAGCGCCTCTATTTTATCCATCAATTCATCAAACGTCAAGAACGCACACTCGGCTTCCACGTGTTGATATTCGGCCAAATGTCGACGTGTTCGTGATTTCTCGGCTCTAAACACGCCAATGAAATTCATTCAATCAAACAACCACTGTCGCTAAGGATACTAATCATTTTTACTAGCTTCCTGTAATTGTGCTCTACTAACTACCTGACGAGTATCAATTAAACAACATGATCCTGCAATTAACTTACACACCAGATCCTTTCACATAATTGTTACTTCATCAACTGCATCACCACATCAAATAACGCAAGCAGCAATGAGAAACTAACAATAAGCAAGAAATTAAAGCAACAGTAATAACCTGTATGATTGAGCAATACAGTAAACATCACCCATTGTTGGAATACACGTTTCTAGATAAAGTTGTGATGACTGTGTCAAATACGCCGGTTCACCGAAATAATCCAACGAGAATAATGTGGAGCCACCTTCTACCTTTAAATAAGTTACTGATGCGTTACAATCTCTATGAAGACACTAAAATGCCGTTATCGAATTCGATTCAAACACTTGTTCAAATGGCCGAATGATGAATACAAACAACAATGACATGCTGATTGATGCAGCAATAAAAATTAAAAAAAGAATTCATTAATAGCAATTTAAATACGTCACTTCACTACCAATAATATTTCGATTCAATACGCTCCTGGTTCCATATCTTGTTAGGCTGAATGGAAGGAAGAAAAACTTGTACGAAAAAGGAATAGATTAAGAATTGAAAGTTAAATTTTAATGGGCAATGGAACGAGTGAATGAGTAATAAGGATGGAGTTTGTTTGTGCCACTAACCTGTGTTTGCACAAGGGTCGGTGGAGCCACTTCAGTGTAACCAGCATCGTGGAAATGTTCACGCATGGCACGTATCACTGCGGCACGAACACGCAGAATACGGCAAGTGTTCTCGCCTCGAATCACCAAATGACGATTGTCCATCTTCTTATCCACACCAGCCTCTTCATTCAGTACGCAATCGATTCCTAAAACGAATCAACCAAATGCTCTTCAATTCGTCGCATTTCTATTGAGTATTACTTGGCTTACTAATTGTAAGTCGCAGCCAACACCGTTGGTCGCCATTATCGCTGATAGTTTTCTTATAATTACTGTTGTTGCTGTTGCAATTAATAATATAATTTCAAAGAAACAACCCCACATGATCCATTGCATCGAAAAAAGTTTACATATTAAAACTTACCACCCGGTGGTGCATTGCCAATGAGTTCCCAATAATCAGCGATCAGTTCATAGCCTCCAGGAGCCGTCTGGCCTTCGGGAACTTTTTTAATTATGCCGTAAACGACGACCGAACTCTCAGTATTCAACGTCACAGCTTCGTACGTTTGACACTGAAATATTACCGCATAATTCGGATTCGAAATTGTTCAAATGAGAAAAGACAGTTCACTGGGAAGTAACCACTTTTTGATTCACTTTCATTCAATAATAATTTTCTTCGGAGCGCAACAAGAGGTAATCTAAACAAAAACTCACTCAACAATAATCATGATCACTAAAATTTAATGAACAGCAATTTCCGTACCAGTTTCTCGCTCAAAACCGTTTGAAGGTAGCCGCAACCGTCACGAAGTACGATGAACATCAACGCTTTGCCTTAAATCCAAACATATCCCCTTCTGCATATTTTCAGAGTAACATTATCAACAGATTCATTCACTGAATAATAACACTTACTAAAACATAATAACATTTCCAACAATACTATTTACAACTTTCAAAAGTAATCAGAAACGAGTTAAAAGAATAAGCAAAAAAGAAACGACACTGGAAAAAATATTGAAGCGAACAACCTTGACGTCTTAGACGATGAACCCATCCTCTGACGCAGACACGTTTTGAGCAGTGTTTTTCTGCGTCACGTATGCGAATCAACGTTGCCGGGGCTGCATCCGCAGGTACTTCAATGTGAATTTTTTTGGCCTCTTCCAACAATTGCGCAGTAGCTTCTTCGAGTTCTTGTGCCGCCTGAATAACCGGTAAAAATGAATTTTGTTGCATCTTTCTTATGAGGCTTTCATGAAACTGTCCATGGAATTTCAAAAGTAACCCGACATTCAAACCCGAAACTTTACAAAAATGAGATGCTAATTTATAAAAAATCCCAGGGCTGTTTTCAGACGAACGAACAAACACTGAAGATCAAACACAATCCACGAACCTTTTCCTTCTCATCAGCCTTTTTCAATTTTCTCAATTCCTGTTCGTATTTTTTCTGATTTTTCTTCAGCGCTGTTTTAGAGGCTGGCTCCCAACTCTTTACACCCTCCTTTTCAATTCGAACAAAAAAGTCACCTTCTGCTGACTTTGTTAACAACATTGCTTGTAGTAATGTTCTGCAATACCAGGCAAACAATAAACTGAAGCGCACACAAATCTTTATGGGGTTTGCATTGAAGTTATGCGTGAATCAGTTCCAAAATGACTTCAGGAAATAAAATAAAAAATAAACGAACGAAAAATATTGTTCTAAATAAGATTCGAGATAAAACGACTGAAAAATTCATGAGACTCCTACTATAAATAATAGGCACGGAAACAACTGGACCAATAATAAAACGACGAAGTAATTAGGAATAAAATAGAGGAAACAATTAAACTCCTACTTGAGCGGTTTCTCTTCCGAGCCATCGTTTTCATCCGAGCCAGTTTCAGGACAAATATACATCTTTTGTGTTGGTGCCATTATTCACCTTGAGCTTTCAGAACGCTCACACAAACCAGAACTGAAAAACAATTCGAGCAACAACATTACGACACGTTTCTTTGCGCGGAATTAATATTGAGCATCGTTCTTTCGAACTGCAGCAACTCGCAAACCGTTTTATCGATACTAATCAACCTCAGCCGCCTAAAATTCGCCTAAAAACCGCACTAAGAATGGTGTAATTCCACTCAGAAACGAACAATATATAATTGGATGAAGAAAAATTTTAACATCGAACACGACGTTGACAAGGCACTGCTGCATATTTCTAGTGCTACACGCTCGCATGCATTTATTTATGTTAACTTCACGCGCACACATAATTTTCTATACAGAAAATACAGCTGACAACTCACTCANCATTTGCATAGCTATAGTGGAGAATTTAACGGGCTCTACTATGAATTGTATGCAGCAGTACAACTCTGGACTCATTCTTTCGCTCATGATTCATTTTCTCTTGTCTTAAAATTAGTAAATTTGCATAGCTACAATGGAGAATTTGACTGGCTTCAATGCAAACCATACGATCTTCTCTCTCACAATCAGAACTCATCTCCTTTCAGTAAGTTAACATGGCCACAATGGAGAATTTGACGGGTTCCAATGCAATACTTCCCTTTCATACTTTTTCTTCTCCTTCATACCTTTTTAAGGAAAATCTGAACGGCTTTACTTTTCAACGCCTTATGAACAGTGAACTGTCACTTAGATTGCGCATTCTTTCCCTTTCTCTTTCATGCTATCTTCATTGCACTAGCTACATCCGTCTCTAACCAATCGCTCATCGTATGTAAACATTTTATATGAATAACATAACATGAAACACGGTACGGAAGATCATTGTGCAGATGAGAGTTCAGTGGATCAAACTGTAAACGTTCAAGGATCAACGAGCAGTTAATCGTTGACCACTCTAAATCGTAAAAGATATTCAAATATCAGCATGCGAAACACTCACGAATTATTACGACAACGCATTTACCTACCTGATTGAAGAGGGTAGGGATATGAGGAATTAAAAGGACCAGAATCTAAGATAGGCGATCAGTAGCTAGATTCAGTGTCTTCACTTCAGGGCAATGGCCACCTCCTTTTATAGCATTACGAACGGAAATTGCACAACCAATCGTACCCCCACATACTATGACGAGTGTTCGCCATGCAAATGTTGCACAACCACCGTAATGAAGTGCAACATTTCGTTTCAATTCCTCATTTCAAAACGCTCACAATTTCACTCCATCACAAATATACTGCACATTCTGATACGGTCACCGTATTCGGTCTATTCATATCAGCTCAAATATGCGGCACACTATTAGATATGGAATGCCAAAAGTCAGCAGTAAATCGACTTTCCACGGTTTTGTCCATGAACAAGCTCCAAAATTGACAGACTGCACCGTGCAGGAGATCGTTTGTAGAATTTATTTATTTAATCAGCAATCCCAACTCATTACGAGTTTATGCCTCTCTGTTATCACCAATATCATTTAAATTACATTATTCCTTCTTTGGCATCCTTATTTCTGCGATAATAGCGTTGGGAATAGGATTTGCAAAGTCACGACGATTTACTCATCCCGGGATCGGGATTTAATCCCGGGATCGAACAATTTTTGAAATATCGATGCTGGATGTGTTTAAACACATTTTTTTAGAATCAATGTCTTCATTATTGATC